CCCCCCCCCCCCACCTTCAACCCGCCAACCTCATGCGACAGACAGCTCCAACATCATACCTCACCTAGACCTCGACAGCGACCTCCACCTTACAAAACATCACCACCAGCCTCTCTTCTCTCATTGCGCCCACTCCCAACCGTTAAACCCAAAAACTGTAACCTCTTATATATATAACACTGTTCATAGTCTAGAATATCGCTGCAACGCTGTCGACCAATATGGCGTCCGACCAGGACAACTCCGGCCTTGATGCGCCAGGCTCGCAATTCCACCGACCGATCCTGCAATCCATGCCCGATACGCGCCAGCAGAGTTTCGATGAGATCTACGGACCCCCCGAGAATTTCCTAGAGATTGAGGTGCGCATTTCTTTGGCTTTTTACCATTGCGCTCGGTCACCATTGGGAGAGAGCCATATACACAAATATACAGCAAGGCTTACAAAGCGCCATATATAGGTTCGCAACCCAAGAACACACGGCATGGGCCGCCACATGTACACAGACTATGAGATCCTCTGCCGCACAAACATACCTGCATTCAAGCTGCGCCAGAGCAGCGTCCGTCGCCGCTACTCCGACTTTGAGTACTTTCGCGATATCCTCGAACGCGAGAGCGCCCGGGTAACCATTCCACCCCTGCCTGGCAAGGTCTTCACCAACCGCTTCAGTGACGACGTCATCGAGGGTCGTCGTGCGGGCCTTGAAAAGTTCCTCAAGATTGTCGTTGGTCATCCCCTACTCCAGACGGGGAGCAAGGTCCTTGCCGCCTTTGTCCAGGGTGAGTTTGTCGCCAGATCCATCTTCGCTATCATGATGTCTCGATTGACACGCATGCAGATCCCAACTGGGACCGCAACGCTTGGTGACGCCTCCGTCTAATCTGGCCTTTCAAGGCCATGTCATCTTCTCGCTCTCGTTCTCCATCTCCAGTTTCGACCCCACGCCAACCTCGAAAGCTTCGCAAGCGAAACCCGGCTCTCAACCAGCGGGACTCGCCTCTCGAAAACATGCTCTTCTCATAACCGCAGTTGAAAGTCAGGAGAATGATGAGGGAGAGGAAGAACATGGAATGGCACTCTGTTTCACGTACATACTGATGTCTCTTGGTTTCCACGAGGATGAAAAGCAAGTTCTGGTTCAGTCGCTATCTTTCAATACGTTTCAAACCCGTTTTCTTTTGCAGCTCATTTTCCAGATTGTGAGGCCCCCAAACGCGCAAGGCGACTCGTTCCCGTTTGACATGAGGGGCGCGTTCACGAATTGATAGCCTGTAGTATGTTGTTATTTTCAGCTTGGTATAGTCAGAGCGATTCTTTTCCAAAAACTGAGCGGCATAGCATGCGCAGCGAATGATCGTGCTATCTAGCATCGAGCGACTCGTTACACTTGTCATTAGATCGACAAATAACCATCTTCGTCTAGATTGTGTGAGATATTCTATTGGTACAGACAAGTGGTGATATCCTGAAAGTACGAGCGCGCCTCCTATAATACATGATTTCGTGCATAAATTTATGTGATTGTGCCATCTCCTTCTACCAGGCCACCGCTAGCCAAACGCCGAAAGCAAAAGACGTCCGTTCCACGTCATCACCCCTTTTGGTAGTTTTTCGTAATTTCTTCATGCCCCAGCTCCTGTCTATGATCCTGGGTATTGTGTATGATACAAGGGTGAGTGCTGTTGGAGGAGAAACCCAAAGGTTCATAACAGCCCACACCAGTTAATGTTACAAAACATCAGACGAGAGACAGAGTCAGGTCCAGTGCATCCGCTTTGCGCTGTTGCTCCCAACTTCGACCCGATTGATGCTGTTTTCGATTGTTCAACGCCTTACGCGGGCGTGTGGAAAAGCCGAAGAATACCTTCGTACATGGCAAACATGATGGCGGCGCTGGGTACTGTTCGCATAAGGTGGGGAGTTAAACCGCCATAGAGACCCATAACACCCTCCTCAAGCCAGACGAGCTTGAAGCATTGAACTAAGCCGGTATACTTGGGCAAACCGTTCTCCATAGGTGCCTGTCGCAATCGCGTTCGCGCAACCTGTTGTATTCCTGTTAATTTGTTCCTTTATCCGGCCTTGCATGTGAATGACGTACCTCATGGGGGTAAGCGATAACAGCGGCAACCAGTTTGGCGCTTCCAGCAGCAAAACCCTTTCCAGTCCAGTCAACAGTCTTATCCCACCACGTCCTTTCACGACCACTGCGCACAATCTCGTTCTCTCGGCGGGCTAGGGAGACCTTCATCTGTTCGTAAAGCATCCATTGCATCGTAGACTCTACCACGCCAAGGTAACTGGCGCTCATGCCGCGATAGAGGCTTCGAATACCCTCGTCCCGGAGAATTTGTCTTATACAATCGTAGCTATTACGATATTTGCGCATCTGGGCACCACCAGCTGCTACATTCTTGTCCAGCTGCAAACGAGTCTTGATCATCCAGATGGGATTTGTCGCCGTCGAGGTGATAACGCCGGCGGCCACACCAGCCGATAGATGAACCCAAGGAGCTTCTACGCCATTGTTGAGATGTTCCGAAATCAGACGCTTTCCGTTGCCGTATACATAAAAATTGATAGAACGAGCAGGGACAACTCCAACCGTGGTGGGACCAAGTCCCTTGAAGAGTGCGCGCCAACCTTCGTTCCTGTACACAGAGCCGAGGATCTGGAGTGTGTCGTTGAGATGGTATAGCGCGCTTCGAGCAGGATTAAGTCGTCCAAGGGTCTGAACCTGAGCTTCGCGCTGTGCTCGAATCTGAGCTTGGTAGAAGTCGGATTGCAATCGGGTTTTAAGCACATCGAGGGGAGCTGTAACTGCAGCGGCGGTCATTCCTCCAACGCTAACAGTGACTAGAGTCAGTCTTGTAATTCTGGAAAGAATAGTCGTGCGACGAGCTTGACATTGAGCCGCTCGATTTCGAACAGAGCTTTTACCTACCCACCGGCAAACATATGCACCCAAGACTTGGCAAAGGGCAACGCTTTGACATTTCCCTGTATAGGCGTATCATCAGGAAGGACATCACCAGTCTCTCGTGACTGGATGAGTGCAGAGTGGTCGATCGGTACATGTGTATGGTGGAAAGGTTTCTCGTCGCGGCTAGTCATAACGGGCGATGGATTCTGGTGATGCAACATTGTAAGAAGGATGGTCGACCCTAAAGCAAGACGGAGGTTTCTGGACCCTGTCGATGTTCGGTCTTCAGTCGTTTTTGCTCGATTTCAAGTCGATATGTCGTCAGAAGGAGGGACAAAAAAGATAAAGAAAAACACTCCCGTATCTGAGTGGGATCACCAATGTAGCTTTTTTTCCTATGGTAGAACTGAAGAAAGCATAGGTACCTGGGCACAATCAAGTACCAACCGAGGGGAAAAGATTGTTCAAGTCGGGCAGATGTTGAAGAGGAAAGAATGATCTGCTTTTCTTTGGTATTTGGGAGAAAAGATGGAGAATCTTTTCATGAATCAGCAGTACCTATCACAGTCATTCAGTCAATCGCCTCCCGCAGGTAAACGAGCGACTACCAAAACTTTTTTCTATGACTGCTACTGGACGCGCCTCAGTCCGTAAAGTGGCGCTGCGGCGGGGCGGGTCTTCAAGATACGTACCCATCTGCCTTAAATATGGGCCTCGGAATTCTACGATACCTCAGTACTAAGGTACGGTACTGTTACTGTACGGGCATGCAATGTTTATTTGAATCCAGTGCCAATACAGCATCACTCGAGGACAAGTATCTGTGTGTCTCCCTGAAGGGTGGCCAATCGGTAGGTAGGCAGTTGAAGAGGCTTCACATGATTTTATATTCGTTATTCTCATTGCACATTATCCCTTAACTATTGTCTAGCTCCCACCACCGACCGTTCGTGGATAAGCCTTTACTAGGCCTGCTCCTTCATGCATGAAACGCCAATGGGGCTATTCTGACTAGACGACATCAGCTGGGTGACGGATTCAACGAGCCATCACCGCTCCTGTACGTACTATTCGAAGCTATTGCCAGCGAACTTGTCAGACCTGCAGCGTTTGTTCCTGGGTGCAGGGCTTCAACCGAATGATTGCTGTGATCTGATCTTGCCGTCTGGACCATACCGAACGGCAGTCGATGCCGGTCAGCACTCAGATCGAAACGGTGCATTGATGCCGTTGAGGGCTCCATTGTGCTGGGTAGGTGTCCGTTATCCCTACTAGGCGGCCTTGACCCTTCGTCTGTCCCGTACGTCCCTGGTGTCCTGTCTCCAGATGTCTTAGCGGCGTCTTGTCGATCTCCGATTCGATTCAAGTGGCCTTCTTTAGGATCCAATGTGTCGGTACTCGGTCCAGTGTCGGATTGTCCATCGACATCCATTTCGTCCTTAAGTCCCATTTCTCGCTTGAGCTGTCGAAATTCTTCGTCTGTGACTGTTTTCCAGCTGCATTTAGCGTGCTTCTTAGTGCAACCTGAACATGCCGTCAGATGCTTAACGCATTCTACCCGCAATCTTCGACATCGGTCGCAAGGCGGTGTTATAATATCTCCTTTACCCAACTGGTCGGTTCGTTGTGTGATGAGCGACCGGAATGTTGCTTCACGACTGTCAACTGCTGGTTGGACTGTCGTGTCTGCGGTATGGCTATATCGTGGCCCATGTGTTTGAGAATGAGTTATGCTGTGTGATGGTGATGGGTGACTTATTGTAGTTAACGGGATTCCAGTGACCGATGTAGACCGTGATGGGGGTGGTGAGGCCGAAGCTGTGAGAAATTGCTGCAACAAATCCGCATGTAAGTCGTATCCAGCACCAAAGTTGGCGACTGTTCGTTGGGGAGTGCTACTAGCTGTGCTGTTTGTAGGCTGATATCGCGATGGCGATGGGTCTTGCGTGCTGCGACGCCGGCGAATATCTTGCTTACGTTGTCCGAGACGATGGTTGAGTATTCGAGCTCTTGCCGCTACTTCATCAGCTTTCTTATAAAGGATTGACGTTCTCTGCTCAAGAATATCTAGTGTCGCCAGCTCTGCAGTCTCATCCTCCTCGAGAGGATGATCGAGAGGAAAGCGATCCAGGGCGCCAGACCACACTAGGCGCCAGTCATCTTCCAGGATCTCAACCTGAGAACCTTTGAGGATAAACTGACAGCATCTGGACCCGTCTGGCTTCTGAACAAGGGTAAAGTCCTTGGGATTTGATCGAGCAAAACTGACAACATCAAGCCAACTTATAGGATTGGAGAATGGTTGTAGTGGTGTCGTTTTTATTGGACCGTCGAAAAACTTCTCAATCCCTCTTAGAAGTCGTGGGCCAGTGAGTCTCGCACCCAGACTTGCAGCCAGACTTTCGTGTCTATCTAGAACGTCTGGTGAAGAGTTGTTAGCCAAGGGTCTGGCTTGGTGTTCAATGCGTTGGTTTCTTACTCTCATATTCACCAATAAGACCAATGATGTCGGCAAAGGTATCGGCATCGCCCTGAACGAGGCTTAGGTGGGAAGCATTGGATCTTGAAAGATAATGGATGTAGCCAGGAACGCCTTGGATCTCGGGTTAGCATATCCTCCAAGCGAACAAGCTGTGCCAGAGCACCAAGACAGAAAAGTCAGATACAAGAGCAACAAGCATGTGCGTCCCTGGAGGAGTCGAGCTAGAGCTGCGTCCGGCGAGGGTGGCCATTTCAAGTGCCGACTTTTGCGCGTGCCTCGAGACGACGACATGCATTGGAGAATGTGGAAAGCGCGAAGACACACTGCGTATCTTTCGTGGGAGATGCTACAAATGGAACGTCTCAGGATTTGAGGCGACACGACATAGTGCAGCGATGGACGGCTGCCGTAATACTGGACATACCTTGTTGAAGAGATGTAGGTGCATGCTGGGCACGTCCTTGACCACCAGCATCATCGACGTCACGCTTCCGCTTCGCGGGTTCTGAGTCTGAAGTATGGCCCATGATGGTTGGCAGCTGGATGCAAGGTGCGGTATGCTGATTAAAATGTGGTAGACAAAGCCTCGTTTTTCTTGCACAAGACAAGACAAGTATAATAAAAGGATGAGCCAGCGTCTTAGCCGAAATTGAGGCTCAACTGGCCTATCAAAACAATGGATGCAGGAATATGCGCCTCGAAATTAGAAAGATCAGGGAGGATATCAGGGCGCATATAGAGATTTGACGACGACGACGAGAGTCAGGTGGATGGCGGATTGCGACAAGGATGGAGTTAGGATGATGAGTGAGATGAGAAGAGAGGAGAGAGGAAGGGGACGCAAGAAGCGGTCATTGAAGATTCATGGTGATAGATTCTGAGATGAACAAAGTTGAAGGTAGGTGAAGAGGATGAAGGCGTCGAATGGTGGGTGTAAGCCGAAGAGGCGAGAGAGGAGAGATGCAGATGCAGATGCAGATGCAGATAAATGAACGCCAAGAGGAGGACAATTATTGCCCGTCAGTCGTAGTTGCTCAATTTATCCCAGAATCGAAAACCCCTCGTTCAAAATAACGCATTCAGCTGCGAGCGGTCTAGTAGGAGACTCTTAGTGGGCGATGAGTCGTCCTAATAACAAAGAAGAGGAGATTGAAGAGGGTCAAATATGCTGGCGAAGAAAGACCAGAAGGACATGCGGAAAAAGAGTCTCAAGCAAGTAGAAAGTGCCGGGACGAAGTGGGGGTGCAAGTTAATGTAGGTAGGTAGGTAGGTAGGTGGGTAGATATTGTAACGGAGGAGAAGGAGGAACGAAGTGGCCAGACCAGGCCAGGTCAGGGTGTAGTGCAGTAAGACAAGATGGAAAGCGCAAGAATGAGAATGGTTTATTCAATTGGAATGAATTTGACGGGAAAGTGCGACTGCCAACCCAGCCTCACCTCGTATGGGATGGGACCTAGGGGATGACAGGTAGGTACGGTATCCGTAGGTAAAGGTAGTAGGTACTGGTAGGTAAGTTGGTTAGGTACCTACCTAGGTAATTGACGTCCGCTCCAGCTTATTTTTGTACCTAGGTACCTACCTGCTTAGGTACTAGGTACTGTAAGTAAGGCAAGAACTTTAATGGGAAAGTAGGCCAAGAGAACATGGGAAGAAGACTCGACTAAATACAAAGTAAGACTGGAAGAGCTATATTCAGTTTAAGACAAAACGTTGGTAGCTTCCATAGTACAGTACCTACGATGGAAGACGCGGACAGCGGACGAGCGGGCTCATGACCGCTGCTACCTACCTAGTGTAACTCGACTTCTTTAGGATAGTCCATGGTGGAATACAAGAGGCCTCCTTTGAAGACAATGCAACATATACATGCCAAAAAACAACTCGTTGACTGTGACTGACTATTTGGAATCCAATACATGGAAGAGGCATATACATGGCAACAGAGGAATCTTTGTTTGAGGCTGTGCTGCAGCTTGTTACAGTAGGTAGGTAGGTCACGGATGGAGGGATGAGTTAACGGCGGTAACAAGGTACCTAGATACCTAGTACCTACTGTTTCATGTCATTCACGGCGCATCGATCTGCCCAGTCTAGCAATGCTCATCCATACGTACTGCAACCGCAACCACAACCACAACCACAGGTCTAGCTAGGTATGAGGCACGCGAGCTTTCGCTTCATAGGTACCCAGGTACGGATAGATAAACAGACACTCTTGCGGTATTGTAGAGGTCAAGGTCTAAGTAAATCGGATCATGCCCCTAGTAGTCATAGCGATCCGATTTTTATTTGGATCGTGTGGTTGAAAATTTAATTATTGCAACATTTCATCGCTTTCATTCACATGGAGAAGCGTTGCTAGATTCGAGCTTGTCACTGATTGGCTGAATCGTAACTTCGAGAGAACAGCATACAGAACCATTTATCTGCCCAGAACTAAACTACCTAGTAAGTAGTTAATCAATATCCTCCTTAATTGGATATTTAGGTGGCTTAACGGAGCAACAAGAAGTGTCTATCTTCTCCCATGCATTCAGAGGGCGAATTCGCTTCAATATGAACATGCATTGGGGGTCATGTTCTGTAAGTCGCCAAACTCATCCATCAATGGCAATCTCTCACTTTCTCAAAGCCAAAGCCCACACGTACTACCCCACATAAAGCCCGAATCTGCACACACTTTGACCCATATCCGTACTAGCATTCTTGACCCCACCAGAGCATTCACAAGTTCCAACGACGTCGAGCCCAAACATCCAAGCAAGCTCATCACCAATATCCCACCCACCCCATCTCCCCTACCCAGCCCCCCAACCGACGATACGCCATGTCCGATAGACCCTCACACCGAGGTGGCCGCGGCCAAGGATCACATCCCCGAGGTGGACGCGGAGGTGGTCGTGGAGGAGGCGGCGCGGGAGGCGCTCAACAGGAGCGTGAGAGGCCCAAGAAGGAGAACATCCTCGACCTGGGCAAGTATATGGACAAGCAGATCACCGTCAAGTTCAATGGTGGTCGCGAGGGTACGCCTATTCGAGTCGCGCGCTTTTCAACCCAAGGTGCTAACCATCCATTCAGTCAAGGGTACGCTGAAGGGTTATGATGCTCTCATGAACCTGGTCCTAGACGATGTACACGAGGTTGTTCGAGGTATGCCAATCCATCACATTCATTCATCTTACGTCCCTCTCTTCGACTCCCACAGCTGACATTATATCCACAGACGACGAAGGCAACGAGTCCACTCGATCCCTTGGTCTTGTTGTCGTGCGAGGCACCCTCCTCGTCCTTGTCAGCCCCGTCGATGGCAGCGAAGAAATTGCCAACCCTTTTGTGCAAGCCGAGGATGACTGAAGTAGCCACCAAGGAAGCGGATCAGAAACGAACGTTACGACGATGGTGATGAGTAGAATGCCTGATTGAGAATTGGCCACACAACGTACGGCCGTATGAATGCTGGACAACCTCAGGAAGGAGACCGAGCGATATGCCCAGACCGCCTTGTCCAAGCATGACATTTTGGATCACGGATGGGTCTCAAAGAGCTGTGTCGTGCAAATCCAATGGGTCTCGATCGTGCAAATCACGTCACTGGCCACATTAATGTCTTGTATTCAAGGCAATATATCGTGTTAATAAACATCTCGCTGAACTTTCTGCCCTACAAAAACTTCTGATAACCGAGTCTCGGTCTATACTGATCAATCCTGACCTGAAATATGAGTGGCCACACTGATCCAAGGTCGCACTCCTCCAACCTGATAACCAAGGCATTTGCCCAATTTCTGTCGCATGACGGAGCATTATAGGCCTCGTCCCGACTTGCTTCCCTTCACAAGTTCGCCAAAAGCATTCGTCAGCATTTTCTTGAGCTCTTTGAAGCTGACGAGGAAGCTGGTCTGTTCATCTCGACTCGTCAGACAAATCCTCTCGTCTGATCCAATATCTAGCTTGTTCATGCATCGAAGCATGTGTCCCATGTCTAGGACTGGTTTGCCGTTGTTGTCAACTTGATGAAAGACGTAGTCTCGGAAAAGTTTGAGCATGTAGCGTTCGCCATTCTCGGACCACGCCCGATCTCCTTCAAATTCAGGTCGTTCGTTAATGGTTGCTAGCTTCATCATTAGCCTCGCAGCCCTTCCGTTTTCGATTTCTCGCATCATATCGGCATTGACTTTGTCCAAGGCTTGCAGATTCTGGTCAAATGTAGTGGTAATGCGCCCAGCGATTCCACGCACAAACTCCTCAATGCCCTTCTGTGCTGGAGGCTGTTGGGGTGTGAGAAGCCATAAAACAGTATCTCTCATCTCCACTGAATACACCCTTGACATCTGTTCCACAGACATCTGATAGTTGGCCAGATGAACTGGCAGCGTGTTTGTTGTTAAACATAGCAACAAGCGTCCGAATTGAATAAAGTCTTCTTGCTGAAGTTCCTGAATCGGCCGATGTGCATCATACTGCACAACGTCGAGGATGGAGCACGCACTGAGACGAATCCGGTTTTTATGAGTCAATATGATCTTGCTCGGGTCAATGCAGCGTGCTGCCAAGTTGATAGAATGGATAGCCTGAAGCGCATTGGCAATCTGTGAGATATAGGCCCAGAGCACGTTTTCGGCAATGGGGGTTTTTGCCTGGAAACGATTGCCATGAGTGGTGCTTGGGGTTAAATGAGCCTCAACAAGTGTCTTGGACAGGGGGTAATAGTCTTGAACGAAAATGAGCGAGCTATCTCCAAAGGCACGAGTTGTGAATGCATCAATAATAGTGACCACGTTGCCGTTGTTGATGCGTCGCCATTCCTTGACAAGTCTGATTGCATGTTCATTGGTCAATCTGTAACCTTCAAGCCGCCTCAAGCAGTAAAGATTGCCGGTCTTGGTTGCTGTAGCTTTGTAGACCCAACTAGGATACCCAAAGATATTGGCATTTTTTCGATGGGTCGTATCTAAAGGCACCAGATTGTGGTAGTTGTCGAGCTGTGGTAACTGAGAGTTGGGAAGGACTTGGCCTGCTGCCTCAAGCTTCCGGGCAATCTCTTCGCGCTCCTTCTCGGGGAGGAAAAAGTCGTGCGGCACACGATGATACGGCATCAAATCATCTCGATGAGGTGCAACTGGGAAATATAAGTGGTGTTGCAGTGGTTGAAGGGGCGTCGCAAACGCGTTCTGCGCTTGAAAGTAACCTGGCCCATGACCACCAAGGGCAGGGTCTTCTGCATAGGGATTGAACTGAGGAGTAGTGAGACCTTGGTTCACAGCGGGCATAGTAAATGGGTCGTAGGAGATGCCGCTATCTTGGGCAGCGCCATTTGTAGCGGTCTACCTGGTCAGCACAACCTTCACCTCAGATGTGATTATATGCCTTACCGTAGAGTTTATGTCAAAATTGGGGGTAAATTCGCGGATAGACGCAGGATTGAAAACGCTGTTATCGCCATCTTGCGGGCCAACGGGTGTGGCGGCTTAGCAAACGTACTGTTAGCCAAGTCGGGAATCACAAGAATACACAAGGTTTCGTACAGCCTAGTCCACGTGGAGTAAACGCCGGGGCGCTTGCAGCTTGCGAAGAGAATGTAGGCTTCTTGCTACCTATACCGGAGGGCGTAAAGGAGGGTGAATCGACGTTTAACGATTTCTTGGATCTGGTATTATCGCTGTCAGCCATCCTGTTGGATCAATGGAACATGTCTAATGCGGCAAGAAAAGGAAGAAGAAAGAAATATGATTGTTTGGAAGGTTGCCTGATGTGTGAAGACAGGCAAGGCAGTGAATGAGTGAATGAGATGAACGAAAGAATATGGCCAAGATAGTCAGTCATAGAGGGAGGGTCTTGTATCGACGAATGGAACAATCCGTGGTTTGGAAACCTCAGGGAAGAGCTGGCAGAGCAGGGCAAGCTATTTGTGATAGTTGAGGCAGGCAGGCACCATAAGTCCTTCTTCCCGCAGCCATGACATGACGTCTCATCTCTACAGACTCAAACTGCGGCAGTTGCAATCAACACTTTTTGAATCCCGAATCACATTACCAATTCAACGAGCATCCTGATACGTAAGGTAGGTAGGTGGTGACAGCAAGGGACGTTCCTGGCCAGCGTGTGTAACCTGAAGCGAGCTTGGCGAAGCCAGAGTTTTGACATAGCGAGCTTTCGCATGACAGACCCTCGAAGCAAGCAAAGCAAAGCAATCATGGATGAACAAGGTTAACCTACAAATCTGAATTGGAGTTGTTCTTGTTCTGGTCATGGCTGAAAGCACAGCCTTGGTCTTCATAACGACAATGGCCATATATAAGTACGTTTCGGCATAATGTATCTTTATTCTCTGGGAAGGGTCCAAGTCAGTGTTTGTTTGGACTTGTGATTCTATAGTCGGAAGGGCAAACGAACCGCGTCCCTTGGGCCGTGGGGACCCGACTTGGCGTCGTAGATCGGCCGGTTGATATCGCGATGTCGCCATGGTCAGTAGTATATAGTGTTTAGGATAATACAGCCCCCTTGGCCGAGTTTACGACGTCTAAACGCAAGGATGGTCTATTAGCAGGCTGCAAGGAGCAATAGCGGTCTTGTACGGAGAACAAAGCCGACAGGGTCCGGTCCGAATACTGACAAAGACAGCACCTACTTGACTCTGGCAAGCATTTCCCATGGTTCAATTGATCGAGGCGACGGGCCGCCCATGGAGGAACGAGACGGGCGGCAGGGTTTCAACGGCGCTGCTGACCGGAGCAGCGTCGAAGTCGAACAGAGCGCAGGAATCCAACGACCGTGCTCAGGAGGAACAAGGCGCGGGCCGTCGCCTCTTGTAGTAGAAGCAAGCAGTTGCGAGGTCGGGGTGACACGAGAATAAGGCAAGGCAAGGTATGTAGGAGTTGGACGAGTGTGGATGTGGGCGGTGGGGGGCACTTTTGGTGGAGGGACCGGCGCGCAGACAGGACAGGACAGGACAGGACAGTCTTGGTTCGCGAGTCTTCCAGTTCACCGCGCTTCAGAGTATCTCTCCCGCACAACTAATATGTAAAGATACATGTGATGCTTCACCCCCGCGGCATGACGCCAACCTACCTCAAAGCCAGCTTGTTCCAATTATGCAATATTCCGAAGAATAGCCCACCCAAAACGGGTTTAATCTGTTTAACTGATACGATATCCCTACTGATAAGCCAAGCTCTGTCGCGCTCCGATGCCATCATACTCATTTAGCTCTCTTGATAAACATCCATCCATTGTATCACCAATGCGCATTAACCCAGGGCCTCAAGCTATGGCAGTTGTCTCCCTTTCCATGTTCACAAGAATCAATTAGTTTAAAGACTACATAAATTCAACCTTGTCTATAGTATTTACCTGCTTAGGTGTCCGCCCACGCTTCGTTCGCAGGCTCCGGAACCTTCTTTTCCCATTGTTCGTTCTTACGAAGGCAGCGTGGGGTCACCGCAACAACCGAAACGCAGAGCGCAACCTTTCGTCCTGCGCATAGGTATCACCTGTATTGTTGAGGTTTTCGCTTTCAACTAAAGTCAACACTCAGCGGTATTGTCATTCTCAAGAGCTGGTCATCGGAAATCCCAAGCATATAGCATGGCCGACAGCGAGATCGACTTGGGACAGCTGTCCTCTAGTCAGCAAGAAGCTCTCAATCAGTATACTCAGGTCACCAACCAAGAATTCAATGAAGCTATCCCACTTTTAAGGCGGTCAGAGTGGAATGTCCAGGTACGAAACCTCTCATCTGCTTTTATCCAGAGATTCTAACGTGAGGCCCGCAGATTGCAATCGCCAAGTTCTTCGATGGTGAAACAGCCGACCCAATAGGTGCAGCGCAACAAGAAATTCCCCGAGCGACAGCACGACATGAGAATCTTCAAGAGAGTCTCTTCTCTGAGGCAGCGCGTCCCTCCCGTACCTCACCACGACAGCGCACCGATCTAGCGCCACGAATCGTCCCCCAGAACTCGGTCACGAATCGGGCACCCTGGCTCCTAGCTTTACTTCTCACGCCTTTCAATTTGGGATGGAGGGTAGCCTCGACACTGTTTAGAACCCTGATATATGCGTTGTCATTCTTGCCAGCATCGATTCGACCACGTGCCGTTACGAGCCGAATATCCACTGGCTTCAGGGGCACAAATGGTCGACGTCCTCTAATGCCACGGGATACAGCTTCGAGGTTCAAGCGAGAATTTGAGGAGGAGTACGGAGAGAATGATTTGCCATTTTTCGAGGGCGGGGTTGCTCAGGCGCACGACCAAGCTAAGAAGGACCTCAAATTTATGCTTGTGGTATTATTATCTCCCGAGCATGACGATACCGAGTCCTTTGTCAAAGACACTTTGCTATCACCAGAAGTGATTGCATTCATCAAGGATCCTGCCAATAACATCATTCTTTGGGGTGGTAACGTTTTGGATTCTGAAGCCTATCAGGTGGCCCAAGAATACATCTGCACCAAGTTCCCTTTCTCGGCATTGGTTTGTCTCACGCCCAAAGAGGGCAGCACTCGCATGGGGATCGTCAAGCGACTTGCTGGGCCCATGCCCCCAGCTACTTATTTGTCGGAAATCCGAGCGGCTATTGAGAAGTATGGCGCTGATCTGGACGGAGTGAGGGCTGAACGAACGGCCCAGGAAGTGACAAGAAGCCTACGAACTGAACAAGACTCGGCATACGAGCGATCCCTAGCTATTGATCGCGAGCGTGCTCGACAGAAGAAAGAAGCAGCAGCAGCCGCGGCAGCAGCAGAGAAGCGTGCCTTGGAAGAAGCAAATGCAACAGCAGTCCGCGAAGAAAAGCGCAGACAGTGGAAATCATGGAGAGCCAAGACCATTGTGGCTGAGCCACCAGCTAGCGACAAGGGTGTGGTACGAGTCGCTCTCAAGATGCCCGAGGAATCGGGTATTGGCCGAATTGTACGTCGTTTCCCCCAAGATGCGTCACTGGAAGATATGTATGCCTTTGTAGAGTGCTACAGTGTTCTTCAAGACCAGGATGCAGCTGTCAGTGATAGGCCAGAAGGGTACGAGCACGAGTACAAGTTCCGAATCGCCTCTATTCTTCCCAGGATGGTGTACGAGCCTAGCACGACAGTGACAATGGGGGAGAAGATTGGAAAGTCAGGAAATCTGATTGTAGAGGACATCTCACCAGATGATGAGGACTATGAGGATGATGACGAAGACGACGAGGCGGAGGGCAGTCAGTAGACAAAGCTGCGAAGCGCTAACTCCTGTCCATTGTTTATTAGGTACGGTGTGGGGTTGTTTCGCATAGCAATCGAAATAGATTTTCCCCATAATGGATAGATACAATTTGCAATGAAAGGTGATTAAACCGTGTATAGCAGTGGTGGCATCAAACGTGCCATGTATCGGATTCTGATTTACAGATGCAGTTGCACCAGCTCAAAGTATCTGCCGAAGCCCAAGTTTGAGGTATGATGAAGGCAAGTTGCTGCTAGCGGACTTATACAACTTCAAGTACACTGCAATCCAAGCATCCGAGCGAGATCTGATGCTTTAATAATGAGAATGGCATAACAGGCAATCATTCAAGCTTACACCATTAAGCTTATTAATCTGTAACGGTCCGCCCATGCATCACATTTTGTATGACAGGACAGCGTGCCTTTACTTACCTAGGTAGCCAGGTGGGTGTCAGAAGAATTGTCCTCTAAGGTTTAGGGTACAGAAATAAAGGAGCATAAATGCAAGCCTAAGCCGGCATAAGATGATCAAAAGATTTCGTCTCCTATGCACTCAACGGCCAATTCTTCTGACACCCTGACGGGTAGCTTACAATAGACTGTTGTCGGTGCATAGCAAGCAATTTACTTTAGTTGTATGAGAGATCCAGAAGAGCGGTTCACAGTGGGTATCGTGCGGATCGTTTCCCTACGGGCAACCCTTTTGCATATCGAAAACGACCCGACACGCGTTGACTTGAGATGTTGGAGATTCATGACAAGCCCCAAGGCAAAGCCAAGACGCGAATGTCATGTGTACAGTATTACCCAGCGGCGATAGAGAGGGGTTGATTGCGTAGGGTGGTGAGGCAGTGCAACATTGGCCGCCTGAGGATGGTAAAATTGGATGGATGGAAAGATCTATATGAAGCCTCAGGTGTGTACGGTAGGTATATGCATTATATTGGTACTACAGGTACTGGAGTTAATTAACTCGATGATTCAACTTCTATCGTCTTTCCCTCTTACCTCACCTTTGCAGATTCGCTCTTCCCCATGGGCTTCCCCTCGATCTTGTAAAAGGACCCTGCAAATCTTGAGCGTTGACGGGCAGCCTAAGCCCGGCCTTAAGCCCAACGAGTGGGTGACGCACACGGCGGTATTAGCGAGCAGCGCATCACGGACCCTTGGATAACTCCGAATCCATACCAAGACTACCTGTTCTAAACCTTGAGATCAATATCAAAACAAGTGACACAAGAAGGGGAAAGAAAGAAGGAAAGAAAGAGAAGACGACATCACCGAACCACTATTATCCCCGCTGCAAGATAATCTACCTACCTAGGTACCTATCTCACAAGATTCAACCAACTCTTCACACTCATCCCATCATCTCCCAGGATCAAGACCCTTGCTACTCCCAGACAACGGCGCCAACCAGTCGACGCTTGCTCCAATTCAATTCAATCCAACATCGTCAGCTCCGCGAAACAAGTTATATCAACCGACATCACCGTTCGTTTCTGAAACTGTGAAAGCATTGGATTGGATGGTCGGCGCCTTCCCATTTGGGCCTTAATTTCCCTTCAGCTTTTCTTCTACTGGAACCCTACTTCCTCAACAGTCCGCCTACCTACGATTCTATTGTTTCTCACCGTCAAAACCAAGACCGCTCTCTAGGCAACCTAGGCAACCTCTCGCTACCTCCTGTCTATATCCACAAGGCACCCCCATCTACCACGTCAAAAAGCCGCCCATTGCGGCGCGAGACTCCCACGAAGCCATGAAATCTATGAAGGGTCTTGGTATGAGCAAAGTGCTCGGAAGCATCAGGAAGAAAGCAAGCAATGTTTCAAATCGTACGTGTCTTCATGCACATGCGCGCAGCGCTGCGACCCCAGAGACTCAAGCAGCGCAAAGCAAACAATAAGATGATATCTGACGTTTGTAGGAACATCTGACGGACCTTCGGGGGCATCGGCGTCTGGGACGACACCCGCAGGCTCACCAGAGGCTACAGCTCATAATAGTGTGGTATGTCGTCGTATTATCGCGCAATTTTGCGACGCCGCCCGACGTCTGGTCATTGCTAACGAGAAACTAGAAAGCATTCTGCGAGTCCAGAGGAACGAACAAGGTGAATACTACCGGCTACCATCTGCCTCTTGTGAAACGTTATCATTAATCCGATGCACTTCTGGAAAATAGAACGATGAGGTTCTTTTTCTCCCTCCGATTGTCGACGCCGCAGAGTCCTCCCCAGCCGCCGCCGCAGAATGCGCACGCTTGACCCGCAAATACCTGTCAAAAGAATACTTTTCGCGGCCATTATGGCAATACAATGCGATCATGTTACTGCGCATCTTGACTGATAACCCCGGCCCAACCTTCACGCGAAACCTAGACCAGAAGTTCGTCGATACTATGCGCTCGCTCCTCAAACACTCCAAGGATCCCAGTGTCCGCCAGATCGTGATGGAGACACTCGATGACTTTCAACACACCAAAGCGTACGACGAGAACTTGACGTTACTCATCACAATGTGGCAAAAGGAGAAGGAAGAAGCTTACAGAAACTACGGCGTATGTTCACGAATCTTGCCTTCTAGGGGCGATCCAGACTAATATAGGCACTTGCAGGGACCACGACAGCAAATGATGTCGCCAGGCACTTACAACACTTCTCCTCCACCTCAAAACCCGCACTCTCAAAACTACTTTGCCAGACACCACACGAACAGACGGTTGCCCGATCCGGTCGAGCTCGCCAGCAGGCTAGAAGAAGCTCGAACGTCGGCCAAGCTACTTGAACAGGTTGTTATGAATACACCTCCAGGCGAGATTCTCGACAATGATCTCATCAAGGAGTTTGCCGATCGATGTTCGAGCGCTTCCCGCAGCATCCAGGGTTACATGACTTCCGAGAACCCTACGCCCGATAACGATACAATGGAGAACCTCATCGACACCAACGAGCAGCTGCAGACTGCCCTTAATCAGCACAAGCGCGCTGTGCTCAGTGCTCGCAAACAATTAGGCCTGAATGAACGCACTGATTCCCAGTCGCCGAGTGTAACCCCTCAGCTTCAGCCTCAACAACAACCAGAATCTCAGTTCCAGACCAACGGAACAGACACAAACCACTATTTCAACAATGCGTCCTCTTCGAGCTCTGGACCCAACCACGGTAAGGGCAAGGAGACACAATCTTACTCCCCTCCCCCGGGCCCCCCTCCGAGGGCAGGTGAAGGAAGCTCAAGCGGACCCTACGATGAGCCTGCCGAGAACCCATTCGCAGACCCTCAACCAGGCGCTTCCGCCCCTACGAACCCATCGTACCAGTATTCTGAGGAACAACGTCTTGCAGCCGAGCCTTTTCACCCCGGCTTCAGGCCAACAGAAAGCTACCTAGGTCGCCAAGATAGCGCCGTTGGGAAGGTTCACATGCATGGCGCGGGAGCCTCCACGCCATCAGCCCAGCCTCCCACACAGCAGCGACTCGACGAGGTCTCAGACGACGACGACATATACGATGCACCTAGCGGCCCTCCGCCCAAGAGCAAAGAGCCGATGTACCGATACTAATAGTGAGACCTCGAGGAGTGCGAAGATCATTCTGGTGATGGTCCTCGCAATCTGCGTCCCGATCAATCGAATTTGTTAGAATGCGTTGCATTTCTTTATTTCAAGACGTCAATGGTTTGTGCTGAGAAACTCCAGGCTAGATGGAAGATGATGAATACCTATGTTGGAAAGATGGAGCGTTGTTTTTGAATCGGCATCTTTGTGTTCTCGTACATGCATGAATAGGCAGGCGCGGCGAAAGGCTGATTCCTATGGCATTCTCTTTTGTTGTGCTGTAACCATTATATTGTTATTTACACCAAGGCTTGGACATCAATACCATTTCTTGCCCCTATGAGCTACCTTCTCTCAACATTACAGGTAACCAGCCCAGTCTGATTGTATTCTGCCTGTCCATATTACATGGTGGTTCTTTGTATGCAACAGGGTACTTGTGGGTTTCCGTTAATGCGACAAAGAAAGAGAATATGTTTCCACTAGAGGCTCTCCAGCGTTGGAGGAACTGCGGTACCTACAGGTTACATCGGCTGTCGAAGTAGTATGTGCCCAATAGTACCGCGTGCCTCTGCTGGTTCATTGTTGGTTCACAGCGACTGTGGTAACTTTCACAGTCGCTGCGTGGCTTATGATCTGGCAAGTCGGAGCGTTATGATTTGACTAACAGCAGGTGTCGAAGTCGATCGGACAGAGATAGAAAGATGGACATGCATGATTCGTTAGGGTTCACTGCAGATGCAAGTCTCAGAGCCCGAGTCTCGGATTCGACAGCGTGGCCAAGGTATCATCATGGCTGGTTGAGGCAGTACCAGGCGAAGAAGGGAAATGGAAACAGTTAGTGATGACGGTCTTTATCGGCAGAGCTGTATGGAGACGATTCTCTGCAGTACCAAGTTGAAAGTGCTGCAATGGTTTGGATTAGGTATTCTGAAGTGTTGGGTGGTAATCTATGTGGTGGAGATAGCCTCGTCTGGTGGGGTGGATGGATCTCTTGTTTTCTTTTCTTTCCCTTTCTTTGGTCAGAAGAAGCAATCCTACTCTTGTGGCATCTTTGTTTACCGTTTGACGTGATGTAGTGGTTGCAATCGATCGTCCAGTCTCTCGGCCCGCCTATGTGCTCGGCCAATTTCTCTTCAGCTGTTCATAGCTGACAGACTTAAACTTCCGGGGGGACGCAATCGATGGGCTATCGTTTTCAGGAGTCCCTGGTCGAGATTCCCAGGATCTTGGACTGCTAAGGGACGTTGTGATTGCCGTTCTTGACACGACGACTAGTCGATGTAACCCTAAGCAGCGTCTACCGAGCCAGTCGCATTTAATGGCGACCATCCATAACACGACCCTTGCTCACTTACCTACAGCGTTATGTACTGTACAGTTTTCAGCTTGAATAATATAACAGAATAACTGTCGAATCTCTCACAACCAATCTTTCACAATAATGGGGTATTGAAGGAATAGCTTGGAGTTGGCCCAGTGTTTGTCGCGTCACTTCTTTACCAGGAAAGCAATTGCCAGGGCAGTCGTCGAGGTAAGCTCGTGTCAACGGACTCGGTTTGAAGTGGTAGATGCAGATGCAGATGCAAGTGATGTGGTGGGTATGGATGGATACGTACTCGAGAAGCATGATGAATGCACGAATCTGCTTGTGGCCCGCTCTGCCCCACTGGCTGATGGGACACGACATGAGATGGAGGAAATGCAGGCCGAACAGCATGAGAAACCATGCTCTGCTCGAGCCGGTGGGTGTGCCTACGATTATACCATTACCGAAATCGATACCGATACCTAGGTAGGTATTATAGGTAAAGAAAATCTATGAGACAAGCGTCAAGGACTATCACGACTGACTGACTCGACTCGACTCGTCAGATGCGGATATGAGATGAAGCTATGGATATCTGGTATCGGGAGTATTAAGAAACTTGGGTTTGTTTCGAGTTAATAAGCTAGCCGTCCCTACCAGCCTGTCAACCCCATGCTTCCTTCCAGAATACCAAGCTTAATCTTGGGTACTAATTACAGGGAAGGGAAGGAAGGAATGATCAAGCCTTGCTTGCTTGTTTCCATCCTTACCTTACATAGGTACCGCAAGAACTTACCATATGGGTACCTATATATAGGTACCTTATTTATTTCCATGTTATCGAATCAAAGGAAGGTACCAAAGTATCACATGACAGCTGCCAAAGTCTTGCTCAGCAGCCCCAATCCCGAGAGGCAACCTCCATCTGGCCATGGAACAAACAGCAACAACCTAAGTACCTAACTCATGATGGCCGGTCATTCAACTGCCTAAGAAGGGAAATGCTTGCTGCTGGCTGAGCTGTGCAGACGGTTCATGCAGGGCATCAAATTGGCAAATAACAATGGATGGATGGACGGACGACTACGACTTGGTCTTGATATTGGCATCGACATAAACACAAACAAGGATCTCGGAAGAATAGAATGCGATTGACTGCCCAAGTTCTAACTCAACTTCTTCCCTGTTCCCCGCTGCGCGCCGCACCGTGGTCTGGGGCGTTTCAACAGCAGCGATTGGTTCCGCATTGAGACACCATGAGGGGCTGCCGTTCCCTTCAGCTGGGTCCCCATCTTCCCGTTTTGGGGCAGTCTTGCGAACGATAGACTAACGTTAGTCTAGTTTACCTTTCTGCTTTGCTTGTACAACAACCACGATGAACGGAATCGGGAGGCGGGAGGTGTGTGTGCCCGCTCACGATACTGTACTATCCGATACGATACGACACAACACGACACGATATGACACGATGCGATGCGATGCGATACGATACGCACAAGACATAGATGCCCCAAACCATTCCACTCTGTTCTGTTCGGAGTTCAGTTGTCCCCTGTCAGCTATGGCTAAACACGCACTCTCATGGAATCAAGACTGGGCAGCACTTGTTGAAATCTGTTTTCTGTTTCACTCGATTCGACCAAGTACGACATCACGCTTCACTTATCTCTCAACCTAGATCCCCCGCTCAACGACCGAGATTGTCTTGTCATGCCATGCCATGCCCCCGTTTTCAGAGAAGGCTTGAATCTCTCTCCAAACTGTGCATTCTTTTGATAGAATGACGCATGATGCTCATGCTCATGCAGGAAGATATTATCACACGACTCTTTTTCTTCATGTGCTCACTGTACAGTAATGTACTATACTGTACTGTATGTACCTGATGTCGTTTTACCCACCATGTCTCTACTCTTGATCCTCTATTCGTCCAGACTCTTTAGCCGCCTAAGGTATGTACATGTTCATTATCATAATTATTACTACACTACTACACATATACTCTGTACATACCTAGCAAATGGCTTTGGCTGTTACGGTATTCTGGCTCGAGCTTTGATCTGTCACCTCCCCGACTCGGACTAGGACACCCTTATTTCTCCTTCGTCTGCACTTCCGTCTTCGCGTCTTTCTTTGCTTTAGCTTTAGCTTTCACTTTCACTCCACATGCAATGCAATTTATCCTTGCTTGCCCGATCTTTTTCGCTTCAGAGGCTCGGCCATCTCCACATATCCATCAGTCCACCCTCTCTGGTTGCTCAAATTTGTCTCGAGATAGGATAGCCCAAGCTCCTGTAATTGTTTTACTTTCTTTCTTTTTGTCTGTGACATGACCGGGAGTGCCGACTTTGGCCTTCCTACTACCCAAGGTACTCAGTTTCCAGTAGACTCCCACTCTCCCACATTTCTTTCCCCATTCTGGACTCTACCTACCTACGTTGCAAACCGAGAAAAACTTGTTGCTCTCTTTGATCAAAGGACATGTACGGATACATACCTACATAGATGATCCTGGTGGTCATCTCTCCACCCCACCTGGACCTGGACCTGGACCTGGCCTGGCCTGGCCTGGCTCTGCTTCCATATCCCAGCAAATCAACCTTGCTATGGTTCCGTCTTGTTGGAACCGCTTCAAGGACCCATCCCTCCATGTCGAGCGAGGGTTTTTGTCATTTCCTAACCCGCATGAGGCTTGACCGTCTTCCATCCTTCGTTACTTTCGCCTCAACTAGTCTAGTGTCATCAAGCAAAAAAGTAGAGTTTACGCCCGGTACTCATTCCCGAGCTGCCATATTAGTCTAGGTGGCCGACTTATACATAGACAAAGCAACGTCCCATCTGTCACTTCCTTAATAAATCTCAGTTGATGATCGGGTTTTTCTTTGCCAAACATATCCTTACGGGTTTTCACTCTTAGCCGGTCTGTTTAACCTTACCATGCTCTCTACAACCGAGCTGTTGGTTTCTCCGCCTCCCATTACTTTATCGTACTCTGTACCACCAAGTCGGTCTTGTTTCTCGTTCAACTCTCCCAGATCCTCTCATTGCATGGACACTTCGATCTGGACACCACCTTCGCCAAGCTTGTCCTTGAACTGCCTCAGCTCAGAGCTTATCGCGCTTGTGTTCGAACAGGTATGTCACAGCATTTGCGATGAATGCTATACTCCATCCCCACGGGAGCACAGTACTAATCTGATTCTGCATCTGGTAGCTTCGTGATCTAGACTCACATGCCCTCGCGTCTGTGCGTCTCGTCTCAACGAGGTTCGACGCCATCGCTGCACCCATCGCATACCGATTCCTGACCTTGAATGAGGCTCTTGTTGCACCAGATGCTGAGCGAAGACATCCTGACGTTTTTCGCCGTATCTCCCACCTCACCAATCATGTCACCATACCAAGCAACTTGAGCTCTACAGGTATCAATATCCTGTTATCGTGCATTAAGCGATTGAAGTCGGTCCGGTACTGAAGCCTACCCTCGGAATCTCCCATCATTTTACTGATGACTTTGACAACAGCTGGCGATATGTGGATAATGACATTCCTACCGCAGGCTTATGGTTACCTTCGGATCTTCGCAGTTTACACGGCTGTAACTCCAACACTACACAATTACACATCGAGAATCTTCCTCTTCGACGAGAATACGAGGGAAACCCGCTGGATACATTTATCAGATCAATTCCTGTCGAACTATTAACGTCGTTGAAGCTTGCCAACCCAACTCCCGTACTATCGACTCGACTGAACTTGCTAAAGCAACTTCTTGTTCAAGCTCAACAACTTGACACATTATGCTATGAAGATCGTGGTCAGGGTACGTGCTTCAGCTTTTCTCCGGGAGAGAAGATGCCGCCTATCAACAACTTGCTGTTGCGATCGTACGATTGGCAGCATACATCTGAGGATGTTGGAAAACACTGGGACTTGTCCAAGATACAATCCCTCGAATTGATCTCGGTGCCCATCTTCAACTTTCTCAAATCAGTCTGCCTTGAAGACTTTTCTCGACTTCACACCCTCCATGCGGAAGACTATAGCGCCCATTTATCGGATAAGAGAGAAGATGCGACCCTTGCTTTGAGCGTGCTGGTCAAAAACCACATCAAGGCACTCGAGATTTTGAATATTACCTGCCATACCCGGCTGTTTCAGCTCGATGCAATTGCAGCACATCGAGACTCTTTACAGGTTCTACGGTTCAGAGATCATGTTGGATTTGCCGAAGACGACCAAAGATGCCCAACACTACCTCCTAGTGGTTTGGCTGGCTTAGGCCAACAATTGAAGTTTGTTCACACATTAGAGCTCGATCTAGACACCAGGCTATGCGACCCTTTCACGTTCCTCCGAGCAGTATGTGCCTTTCCAGCAGTGCACACACTCACACTGCATGTTCAGACCATGATTCAACCGTTGGATGAGGTGGCCCCAGGCATCGATCGCGATTACGAGGCTGCGATGAAGACATTCCAAATACTTGTACAGGAAAAGGAACGGCTTGGAGCTCGTACTCCGTGGAGGCACATTGCCGTCAATGTTGGGGGCTGGAAACGAGTGATGGTTCGCAGGCTGGGTGGTATATGGCGACGAAGAAATAATATGGGTATCTACGCTGAAAGGTGCTTTATCCTCGAGAGAGATGTACAAAGTGGGAGGATAGCAGTACGCGAGGAGGTATGCGTTGAGCCTACGAGTCATGGAGGAAGTCCGAGCCCTTGAAGGGCTCAATTCAGCGCGCATTACAGAGGTTGCCTTGCCTGTCAACCTGACATGTCCGCCACCGAGATACTATGGCACCAAGATAGACTGTCGTGTCTATCTGCATGGCTACAGACGCTGTATCGTACGAAGCGATCAAGGTGGCCGAGGTTTGCCTTGCCGTTGCCCAAAGTATCAGGTCAAAAGTCTATCATGCAAAACAAAATTATAATTAGATACGTCTAACGAACCAGACGTTTAGAACCAATAACGAGAACAATGACATAACGAATAAAATGCACCGAGCACCATAAGGTTTATTTCATCTCGTGCATCATGCACATCTTGGCGTCCTATTTTTATCTGTCTGAGCCGTGCGCCTCATGCTTCATCAACAACCATCAACCTTGGCTGTACACTGCCTAACCCACTGCTTATCGTCGTTATTGTCAATTCTTCAATCCTTATGCGAGCGTGCATCACACGACCAACTCGTTGCTACTTGTTGTCCAATATCCATACCGATGAGTATATTCCCTTGTCTTTCAAGCCTGGACTCTACTGATGAAGACAAAGTCTTTCGCAAGCCATATGACCATTCCAGTGAGGCCATTTACTACTAAGAAGCTAGTAGGTTGGGCGAATGATTCATTTATTATTTTCCACTTCATTTTTATTCTTCAAGAAGATGTGTGACAGGAAAGTCTGTTCTCACCGAGTCGCCTACCCCATCGGTCGTTCGTACCTATGGCACAGGCACTCGCAGTCACCTCTAGTGCTTTGCTCGCCAATATATTTTGGTATAGGATCCAATGTTGACTCGATTTCAGCCGGTAAACGTGCGAAGGACCTTAATCCTACAGTATCTCAGTCGCGTCCTTGGTGATAGGTTAGCGCTTCTTTGCCCCATCGGTCTAAAGAAATAAACCCTGTCGTATGTTGGTCCATCCCTCCTTTTCCCGCGCGGCCCTTCCCGTCCCTTCTCATCAATCAGGCGATCGCCCTTGGACATGTCGTGATACTGTACTGGCCCATTAGCCAAGTACATCCAACGGTTTGAGGCCAACAACCCTCAAAAGACAACGTCGAATCGAACCGGTTGCTTACCGCAGAGAGACGAGCCAGGTACGGATACGTCTCCTTCGCTCACACAGTGTGGATCGCATCTGTCGTGCTCGCCGGCCCCCCGGCCCGGCCGCATTAGTCCTCTTAAGGCGACGAGCAACAGTCAAGCGAAACGTACCAAAGTGGAAACCTGGGTACGATCAGACATGGGCTTCATGGCAAGAGGAGGGATGGTAAAGTCAAAGGCTTGATGCCGACGATTGGGACTATGAGCCGATCGAAGCGAGTTCCGAGGGAGGAAATGATGATCTCGAGGGCTGACTGCAAATTTAGCCGATGAGAAGAGACCAAGTAAAACCCCACAAGAATCAAACAAAAGTATAGAGGCAGCGTGTCAAGCCTGGAGTGTTGGGCATCCATCAGAGCGAAGTGTTCAAAGGAACTGCTACAGACCAGTCTTACTAGCAGTGTTTGAGGACTATCCTTCTCGGCGAATATCAACAGTTGGACCAACGACTTTGCTCACGATGAGCATCTTCAAACAACAATACTTTCGAAGACAGTTGTGAAGTAGACCAAACAGTCGGTGTGAGCATTGTTTCGGGTGCCAGCTTACCTCTGAATGCGGTTCAGCAAAGACCTTCCGAGAATGTCTACCATACTTCCCTTTAACATAAGTCAACCAAGTGATAGTATCTCGACGAGTTTCTTGGATGGTTGTCAGCCATCTAAAATTGCAGCTAAGTGCAGCAGATAACCAGGCCGCTGGCACGGTCGTATAACGTTCCAACCATTGCACAACTCGACAAACATGATGGAACCCAACACTGGCTGGATGTTCTGAGACCCGTGAACTGCTGAAAGGCAAGTCCATCCCTTGGTTCGATATACGGAATAGCCTTTTCGTATGATAACCAGCACGCAGGGTCCTCGAGTGAAGAACAAGCCTCTGTTTCCGTTATAGAAGGCCGTCTAAGCTTCGTCACCGGCGATACACGGTTATACAAAGCACTGTCCAGTACCAGAGCAAAACCAGTTGGAATGTACGGCTCTCAAAGGAGAATGAAGCCGTGGCCTTCTCTGCCGTCAATGTAGTGTATAAGGATCGTTCGGTATGGAGTCGATCTCGAATCGTTTTCGGTTGTTGCTGATCATAGAATGTGATATCTCAACGACAGAAACCAAAGCACAGCATGTGGCCGCTCCTAATTCCTACTCACTTCTGAGCCTGCACAGTATTCGCCAAGTCAACAGAGGCTTGGATAAGTACCAGCAACACCGACAAGTGTTGATTGAACCAAGTTCAAACAACAACAGGCTTGGCTTTCCACGAAGACAAGCCTTTAGAAGAACGCATGCGGCAGGGAAGATCTTTTTGCATCCCGACTTTGGATGATTGGACGGCTTGTTGTATGTCTGTTGTTCGATGTCTAGGGATGAAGGGGGATCCCCAAGACTGTTTCTGGTAGAGCCGTGCCCAGATGGCACCCTCTCCTGCCTGCACTGAATCTACTGTCAGCTCCTCAGACTCCAAGATCCAGAACTACTGGTTATACGAGCTCGTCACGAAAGTTGGTGGCGTCAGAGATGCTGTCGAGAAAGGTCCGCGGGTACCGTTCGCCTAAATCGATATGGATGCCTCGCCGCTGGCATCATTCTGTCGCCACAAACACCTGTGGCCTCTGGAAGCCCTCGCTTGTGTTCTTTTCCTCCGGATCTAGAAGAAAGAGGAGACAGAGGTGTCTGACTGGCTTCGTGATGACGACGGCGCCTCTGTGGGTTCTAGGTTGAAATCAGTGGAACGGAGAGCTAGAGCAAGAGCAAGAGCACAAGCGAGGTGTTAGGTAGGTAGGTAGCAGCAGCTGCACCTTTTGCTATTGACAATTTTACTGTTGCCATCACAGTTGAATTTGGAAAGATACCCGGACTCCCTCCTTCCCGCTTTCCAATGGAACTGTCCGTCGTCCCGTGACGTTCCGTCACCATTCACCCGGAAACGGAAAGTCTCCTTTACTCTCTCTGCCTCTGTCTCTATCTCTCACTCTTGAGTTTGTTTACTTTTGGATCTTCTTCATCGCCTGTTCCTTTCCGGAAAACAAACAACAGACTCGGTTCGCCAGCTCCCGCCCGTTTCCACTCCCGTTCGCGGAACCCCCGAAGCCATTCCCGCGCATTCGGACCCTTGTTTGCACCAGAACAAGCCCCCTTTCCAAGCCATCGTCATCTACATTCCAGTGTCACCCTCGGCCGCTCTTTTGCGCGTACGTTTTCGGCCATATAACCTGAAAAGAGAGACCAATACAGATACGGTGAGGCCTCTGGCACACTCCCTCGGGGGAAGTGGTGATGATGGGTCCCGGGAGGATGGCTACGGAGCTGACTATCTGGTTTATTGGAGGGGCAAAGAATAGGCAGAACGCTTTCTAAACTTAATAATGGAAGAATATTGAACTATGTTTGGGTTTCATAGTAAACTATGGGCGTGCACAAATCGTTTGATATGGCAGTAGTCGTTAGGGACAACACCATGGGGAGAATCACATGGTATACACTATGCAGTAGAGCCGCAAGGGAAAATCTCTTGTGAGAGCACTCTCAGGATCCGAATGTAATGTCCATAATCATACCCGGATACAGTGTAGAGAGAATGGAACTTTTGTCAGTAAATTCTTTTCTTTTAAAACATCAACATAACATGCTTGCATGACATATGTATGAATTTTAGACAGAATTCCTGTATACGATCCAGGGCATTTGTTTCCCTCCCTTATTTCGGCAAATGTCTTGGAGAGTCGTCACGTTCCGTCGGGACGGTCCAGTCCATAGTGCTTGTTCCATGTCAAACTTCAAAGTCATGATCTGGCATGTATAGCTTCATCATCTGAAACCCCTAGTCAGCTCTACCATTCAAATTCCACGCGATGGGTGTCACCGAACGGTTATTCTCACACTGGCATTCGGTCAATGTCTGATTTTTTGTCCGTCCATTGTAGACATCGACCTCGACCCTACAATCAAATGCCGCACAACTGAATATTGTGAATACATAGGGGTCATGGGCTCAACAAGTAGACTACATACTCTTTCGAGAAGGGCTTCTTCGTCTTTTAGAAAGAGATTTTAGTGTTCCATAAAAGAGTTCAAGGTAAACTCTACGTTGAATAACCTCACGGCTCCCTTATTTGACAGCTGCAGCCACTTTACTTTACTTTACTTTACTTTACTTTACATTACATTATATTACAGTCGTGAGACACTGTTTATGTTATGTTTATGTTTCTGTGAAATTATCATGTCTTGGTCAACAATGCCTCCCATGAGTCAAGAGCAAGTCAGCTCTCGGCTCTGCAAGGATAACGTGTAGTACTCGCCCATCCATCTCGGCCACTCGTGTGACAATGACCCTGTACTCCATAAGTAGGTAGGTACTGTACAAAGGTTCAACCGATTATCAGCAACTGAAGTTTGTCTGTCTCCCCGCTTCTGGCAATAGACCGTCACCGACCGCTTTCATATTATCAAACATTGATCGGATTGAATTAACTTACACGCCCCCCCTCCCCTCCCTTCTGTCCCCTTCCCTTTTCTCTTGACTCATTTCCACTCCCTTCTTCTACGCCAAGTCAAGACCCATCAAGAAGCACAGTCCATGCAAAACCTTACCGCCTCGTCACTCAATTTCACTTCATCGGCGCGTATGCAGCTCGATACACGCCCCCTTGACCGCAGTAGCAGTGCCTGCCGACCACTGATCGATTGAGTGAGCATAGCCATGCCATGCCATGCCATGCCATACTGGACTTTCCTCTCCTCCATGCACGCTCTTTAGGTAAGCCCTACTTTGACCCTAACTTGAATCGTCGCCGTTGCGCAGTCCAGGACAATAGAGAGTTGTGAACCGGGTCCCTGGAATTAGGACTAGATGACCTGACTGCTGTCGGGTGCGTAGCCCCTGA